CCTCTATGTTACTTTTTCTTTTTCTTTCTTTTTTCTTTTCTTTTCTTTTCTTTTCTTTTCTTTCTCTCTCTCTCTCTCTTCTCTCTTATTTATTTATTTTTTGTGGAGCCAGGGATTGAACGATTGAACTCAGGCCCTTGTGCTTACCAGGCAAGCACTCATTCTACTGAGCTATCTCCCCTGCCCCTATATTTTATTCTATTAGTACCTTTAAAAAAAAAAAAAAAAAACAAAACTGGGAATCAAACTCAGGGCCTTGCACTTGCCAGGCAGGCGCTTGTGCCACTGAGCTACATCCCCAGCCCATCTAAGTCATTTTAGAAAGTATATGTAATGCTGCAAACATTGAGCAGCTTGCTCTTCTTTATGACCATTTAGATCAGAAGTATTTCACTTAAGAAAGTGGGGTCTTGGGCTGGGTTTTGGGGGGTACATTTGTCTCCTCACCAATAGTGTCCTTCTTATTTATTACAGGACTTCTTCAAGCAAGAATTGACTTTCATTAGCACATTTACTGAAATTGTTCAAAATAAGCCACTTTTATCTTATTATTACCAAGAAGACACCAGAGCCACAAATTTAGGATGGTGGAGTAGTGTTGCACAGGTACCCGCATCCCCCACCCCAGGCACGGCACTTGTGGTCCTAGGGCCTCAGACACCAGCCCTGCCGCAAGGGCTCCCCGAATAAAGCGAGGCAGGGCCTCGCGTTTATCTGGTAGCACAGAAACGGTCCGTTTGGAAGAATTTACACTGGGTGGCTACTCTGGTTCAAGCTAGAGAATGAATATTAAATAACAAACATGATCGTAATTGCTTTATGGAAGAAGACTGCTTTGAACTCAGTCATAAACTTCACTCTGCAGCATATTAATAAATGGCAGTGACAGAACTGCAAATGGGCATGTGTGGTAGCTGCTGTGGTTGAATCAGATTCTCCCCAGGCTTAAGCAAGACATTCATCTCAGGAAGACCTCAGCTGTTTTGGGGACATAAAACCTGAGAGTTGGTTTTAACTCTGCAGTGACCCAGCACCTGCCTAGTAAGCACAAGGTTCTGAGTTCGATTCCTGGTGGCCAAAATACAAAGCCAGAAAAGCCCCTGCAGGCTGTGCGCCTCTTGGATAGAAATAGGAGGTTATGATCAGGGCCTTCTCCGCTTAATCTTCACAATTAAATCGTTAGCATTGAAAATTCGAACAGATCTTAGTAGTGGCTTGAGCGTCTTCATCAGAGCTGAGAACACTAAGGCTAGGAGTAGGAAGTAAGCAAGCCAGCGGTGCATCAGTTACAGCTGAGTTCCAGGTGTGGTAGTGCACACCTGTGACCCCAGCCCTCGAGAGGCTGAGGCAAGAGGATCGAGACCGGCCTGGGCTACAAAGTGCTCAGTGCCAGCCTAAACTGCATAGCGAGACCCTGCTCAAAAAGAAACAACAACAACAACAACAAAAAACCCTGCTCAGCCTTTACTGATTTGCTGCTTCAGGTTGACAGAAAAAGGAGCAGAGCTAGAAGTGCCTGGCTCCGGGGGGCTGGGGGCAGGTTCTGGGTCAGAACGGCAGGCTGAGCGTCTGCAGGGGAAGCTAATGGGCCCTGCCTCGTGGAAGGCTCCGCAGTGCCCCATCTGAGAATGCAGTCAGAAGCGTAAATGCGAAACAAGAGAAGCCAAAAAGCAGAAAGGGTACAATAGATCCAGGAGTCCTTAAACTCAGAAGACAAACATGCATATCTTTCCCCCTCCTTTCTTTCCTTCTTTTTTTTACTTTCCTTCTTAACTCAACCACTGGTTAGCTCAGGAGCATTTACAGGTCTGTTCCTAGTTTCTCCTTTTTGGGTTAAATAGACCAAGCCAGTTTAACAAGTTCTCATGCTATTTGATTATATCGTTCTGCTTCTGGTCCCCAGCAGTCTTCCCACAAACTTGATGATTTAGGGACTTCCAGGGGGCCTGATGCTTTAAGACCTCACTCCTAAGTATTGGTGGAGCCATCCTGAGTCATGTGTAGGGAGGTTATGCTGATACGGTCCTTTCATGATGAAGCACATTGTTTCTGCCATTAAAATAAGAGTTCCACAGGAAGGGTCACCGTGTGTGTGCATTTCTGATCATCCCTTGCCTGGACTGGATTTATGACCTAAATGAAAAATAAAATATGTCTGTCAAAACATTAATTGATTCAGTGATCTGGATTGAAAAATGTAATACTTAGCAAGAAAATATACTGAACTTTGAGCTTACCTACATACCTGCTTATAGCAAGCTGGCCTTTGTATGAAGTATTTATGAGCACGTTGGCCCATTGGAAAAATAAGGGAAAGTTTTAAAATACACCTTGGGTAATAAATAGCATTATCAGGATTACTGGCCTAGATGGTCCAGAGGAAAGCAATATATAAATGTCATTTCTGAATTTAAGTGAGCGAATTTCTTTTTTATGCTTTGTGACATCATTTATGTAGTTCTGGGAGGGAGAGTGTCATACTCTTCGGAGTGGTGACCCTCAGAAATGCTTCATCCCTAACATCGGTGGCGTTCTGCTGAGCTTCAACAACGTGAGCATCCCCAGGGGAGTTTTCAAAAGGAAAAGATACAAGCAAACAGAGTATAGGAACTCTTCTTTTATGTAAAATTACTTTGAGGGCCAGCCAAATAGCTCAGCAAGTTAAAGCGACTGCAAGCAGGTACAGGGCCCGGGTGTTGGATCCCCAGGCCTGCCCTGCTGGCCCCACCCCCAGGGCGCGCTGAGAGGGTAATTGGACTGGGCATGGTAGCACGTGCCTGTAATCCCAGCTCTTGGGAGGCTGTAAACAGGCGGATCACCACGAGTCAGATCTAGTAGTGAGACCCTGAACGCCCTGTAAACCTTTCCCTAAAATACAGAAAAAATAAATAAATAAAAATAAAATTACTTTGATGTAAAACTGCAACACAGGTGCTTCCTTATGTGTAAGGAGGCCAGTGGGAGAAATTACCGCTGGGGTCTAGGTCACTGCACATAATCACACTTCCTGCCAGCTGGGTTGGCTTTTCTAATCTCAAGCCATATTTTTGTGCAGACCTGGCCGTGGAGCCACATGCTGTGGCTTAGTTGGTGCCCTAAGTGAGGCGTGTACAAATCTGTCCTGTGTGCTAGTCAGCTTTCCCTTCCTGTAACAAATACCTGAGAGAATCTTATTTCGAGAGAGAAAAGAGTTATTTTGGCTCATGGTTTTGGAGGCGCCAGTCCCAGATGGGTTGGCCCTCTGGGTTCTGGCCCATGGTAAGGCAGCAAAACGTGGCAGAAGCACGTGGCAAAGCAAAACCCTTTGCCTTGTGGCCAGGGAGCAAAAGAGAATAAGGGGAGGATTGGGTTCTCACCGTTCCTCTGAAAGGCACAGCCCCAAAGACCTGAGGGGCGCCTGCTACCCCACCTTTGAAAGGTTCTGTGGCCTCCCAGGAGCACCTTGCTAGGAGCCAAGCCCTGCACAGGGGCCCTGGGGGCACTTAGGGTCCAGATTGTGGCCCCCCATAAACAACCATCTGAACCTTCTTCGCTAGGAAGATTTAGTATTACAAGGACCTGACAAAGGTGGTCCCACCGGTGCTGCCGTCCTGACTACTAACTCTGTGCTGTGGATTTAAAAGTGGTTTCATTTGGGTGTTGGCCCACGTGAGACTGACTGTAGAAAACTGCACATGGCAGAAGGCTGAGGCAGGAGGATCGCTGTGAGTGTGAGGCCAGCGTGGGCTACATAGCAAGACCCTGTCTCAAAAAATAAGAGAGAAAAGAAAAAAAAATTTGCCCATGGAACAGGTATGCAAAAGTTTAATCTTTGGCTTTATAGTAAGATAATGCCTCCTAATAATTAATAGCATTACCATTTGGCTCAGGACCAGTTAACAAAGATGTCACTAAATCTTTTTGCTGGCATAGTTATCCATAGTTGAAAAATGATGAACATTTTCCAAGAGAACAAGTTGAGATTTTATAAATCCTCTCACTTGTCTAATTAAAATGTTCCACTAAATGTATTTTTAGGGTTACATTTTTTTTTTGGAAGCTGTTAACCTAAATCCTAACAGATCCTAGAACACTTTTCATGAACAGTTAATGTTAGGCTTTACAATGTAGGAAATCAATTTTTTGTCTTTCAGCAGAATTTGGTTGATTTCATAGTAATTGAATACACATAGAAATTTATAGGCAATTTTATAATGGATTTTGGTAGCTATTTTGTACATATTGGTTTTGTTGTAACTTTCATTTTTTAAAAAAATACTATAAACATAGAAGAAAAAATATATATTTAATAAAAAATTAAAATTACTAATAACTCTATTACCTAGTGATAAACTGTTGATATTTTTGTTGTGTATTCTGTCTTTTCTTTGCCTTTGTTTAAATATCATCACCAATTTTTTAATTTTTAAATGAAAAGTAGGTCATTCTACACATGCCCTTGTGCTTTTTTCTTGATAAACATATTTGGACATTTTCATATTATTAGATATTCTAGGACATAATTTTATTCCCAGAACAGTATTGCATTGTAGTGACCTAGCAGCTTTGTTGATTCTACTATTTTTTCCATTCCCTTGGCATTTATAAGATATAGGCCCTGTGCTTTTGTACAAATAGAACTGTTAAAATTTTTATTTTTCGTACAATCCTCGCTAAGCTACCGGTGTCAGTGCAATTCGAACAAATAAATACAGCCGGTGTATTGGTTCATTTGGAAAATGGGTCACATTGTTGAAAAGACTGATCTCAATGATCCTAGGTCTAAATCTGACCTAAATAACCCCACATTACTCTAAAAAGTTGGGAAGAATCAGTGAGCATTTGAGAAAAAAATAACACACATGAAAAGTAATTAAAAGATTTTGCTTCATAGAATTCATAGTGTGAAGAGAAAATGGGTTGAATGTAAGTTCTGAGGGACAGGCCTGCATCTTCTCTGATGCTTGAGTCATTTGAGACTGTGATCCCTCATTCCTAAGTTTGTTGCGGGGTCACTGGATTGAGGACGTGTACAGTAAAGAAAACTTCCCTTAGCAAGAGTCAAGCGCAGACTTCTGTAGAGGTCAAGTTTCCGAAGAATTGGAAGCAGACAACGCTTTCACCTCTGAGGCGAATCAGAGGCCCCAGAGTCACAGAGGAGCCTTGGCAGCAAGGGTGAGGCGTGTCATGTCAGGTCAGGACGGGGCAGCAGAGAAGGCAGGTGGGTGGCCACGCAGCCCAGGCCACACGAGCAATATTAAGAGGTGCTGTTTCTCAGGGCCTGGTGCGTTTCCAAGACCTTTTAGATGGAGGTGAAAAAAAGATTCCACTCCTTCCTAGGCAGTTTGCTGGGATGTCACGCTTACTAGAGTGGCCCGTCCTGGAGGGGTGTGAGTGTTGTCGTGGTGCCTGTAGCTCCAGTAAAAAAAAAAAAAATAAGACAAGAATGGAGAGAGTTCCCACACGCCGATCTCTAACTGCTGTTCTCCTTCTCCCCGGCTTGGTCTTGCTGGTGACGGCCGCTCGCTCTTCTCTCCTAGCTTTCTAGCAGAGGGTGCCTTCTTTTGTTTTCCACAGAATGTTGATCCAGGTTTGCCTGTATTTTTACTGTAAATTTTTGTGGCGCTGTCTGAAGTTTGTCATGAGGAAGCTAACCGGAAGGTGTGAACTGCAGCGAATTTGCTACAGCACCAAGCCTGGGGCCTCCCGAACCATGAAAATTGGTAAGCACGGAACGAGCAAGCAAGCAGGCACAGAGGGGTTTTTGTTTGTTTGTTTTTACAGTACTGGAGATTGAACCTCAGGCCTTTTGGACACAATAGAAATTCTCCATCAGTGAGGTACATCCCCAGGATTTTTTTTTTTTTTTTATTTTAATTTTGGACAGGATCTCTATATACTTCCAAGGCTGGGCTCAGGTTTGCAGTGCCCTACTAATTGGTGGAATATAGGACACAATTTTATATTTCAGTGTAGTTTTTTTCTTTCTTTTTTTGTGGTACCAGGGATCGAACTTAGCACCTTGCACTTGCCAGCCAGGCTCTTAAGCCACTCAGCTACATCCCCAGCTTCAGTGTAGTAATTTAAAACCAGCTGTACAGGATAAAATTTTAATCACTTTTTTGTTATTTTAACAGAAACGTCCCTGAGGGATTCCAAAAGTAAGGTAAGTAAAATTATTTTCTTATTTTTTTCAGCAACTTTTCCTAAGCATACTTCTATTATGCAAAGTAAACTTTGTAAGAAACCAATATATTGACTCAAAACTAATGAGCTAGACAGATAGCTCAGAGAACTAAAGCACCTACCTCTTAGGCACAGCACCAAGGTTTAATTCCCAGCATGCAATGCCGGCCCCACCCCCGGGGCATGCTGAGACTGTGACTGAGACTGGGCGTGGTGGCGTACACCTGTCATCCCAGCTCTTGGAGGGCGGAAAACAGGAGGATTACTAGGAGTCCGATCTGTATAGTGAGACCCTGTAGACCCTGTACTAAATACATTTAAAAAAAAAAAAAAAAAAAAAAAAAAAACTAATGCAAGCTGAGAAGAGAAAATCACTTGTCCATCATAAACCACTGTACATTTTACTTGTGAATTTCTAGGTAGATTTATTGCCAAATTCATTGTTGAAGTAACCTTTTATTGTTTGTTGTTTTTTTGAGACATGGTCTTATTTAAGTTGTTCAGGGTGGCCTTGAATTCCTGGCAATCCTTCGAAGCATCTTTTACTGAGGCTAAATCCCCTCAGCCTCCCAAGTGCTAAGATTTCAGGCAAGCACCGCTATGCCCAACAAATTCATCTTTTTAAAATATCTCTTCCAAAACCATTAAAAAGTTTTTTCTTGAATCTAGAAGCCTCATTCTCTAGCATTTCCTCAGTATCTAAACCCTTTAGCTTTATATCTCAGATGTTCTAATAAAATCAAAGGAGCCCTTGTGTTAGCTTTCACAGTACATAGTTGAACATCTCATAAAAGAAAATAATGTTTTCTATTTTAAGATTCTTGGTAATTTTCTCTTATTACTTTTTAAAATGTATTTGGTTGTTACATGGTCTCACTATGCAGCTTGGACTCATAATGATCCTCCTGTTTTCAGCCTCTCCTGCACTGGGATTATAGGCTTGTACCTGCACACCCGGACTCTGTGGCTGGCTCAGCCCACCCTTGAGATGGGACCAGCGCAGCATGTGGTGCCAGGGACCAAACCACGGTGCCTGAGCTTGCCTCAGCTTAGTCTGCTGAGCTACCTCACCTGCCCCTCTCTTAGTATTTAATACTCTTCAGTATAGACATGGTACCTGTTAAGGAAGGGAACTAAATTAGGCAAGGAGAGAAAATTCACATTGCAATGCAAAGAGCTGGAAGCAGATGACAACAGTAAACCCAATAGCAAAGCTATGTATGTCTGTTCTGCATTAAATACCTTAATCAGGCAAATACTTTACCCTAAACGTAAAGTAGCCAATTCACTAGAATTCAAGTACACTAACGTAATGCTTGATTTTAGCTTAGACCTTCATAGAGAAACCCAAGCAAGTACTTGTGATCTCTGCCCCCATATACTCGGTAAGCCGCTGGCATTAACAAATGTGGGGCATGTTTTCCAGCTGTTGCAGACTTCAGTGAGCGTTCACCCTGATGCCATTGAGAAGACTATAGAAGACATCATGGAGCTGAAAAAAATTAATCCCGACATAAATCCACAGTAAGAATATGTTTCATACATACGAAATGAAGAACCCAAGCCATAGAGCCACATTCTGTGTGTCTTTCTCCCTTCCGTCTCTCCTCCCTGCCTTCCTTCCCTTCATGAAATAATCATCTGAAGCATTTTGACTTTCAGATGAAGTGTGAAGAAAACACTGTGCTTTTTCATGTTTGTGCATGACAGTAGCATTGTACGTCCGCTGTGGCGCCTGCTTCCGCTCCACCTTGCCGTGAATGTGGGAAGCAGGACGGATGTCCTTGGTATTGGAATAAGTGACAAAGGGGGCCCAGTCTCCCACTCCGTCTCTCTAAGGCCAGTGTTTCACCTTGACTGTACATGTTCGGATCCTAACTGCACCTGAGTGGCTTCTGCTCCCTGCTCCCTCTGTTTGCTCCTGAATGCTCTCCCGTGACAGACTGGCAGTCCCGGAGGCAGTTCCTACCTGCTTGTCAAGAAGACAAGCCTGTGTGGGAGGAAGAGATGATTTTTCTATGAAAACTTTAAAACTTTATAATTTATTCTGCTCGTCTTGGAAGTATTAAAATGCACTTGGCAGTGTTTGTGACATTTAAAATTAGCTTTATATTTTCCATTGGGTACAGGAATTTTTCAGTAAAATTTGGGGCTAAGGATATTGGATAGAATAAATTCCAACTGCGATATATTTAAAGCCTGCTTTAGGTTGGTGACTGTCAAACTGTCTTTTAGATCTGCATGCATGAGAACAGATGTTACCACTGAGGAAGGCTTTTAATTACCAAGGGCAGGGAGCTAGGGCTGGAGGGAATGACAGCATTCTTGGCACAGGTCTGTCTCTCGGAAGGCGTCTAGGTCCTCACCGGCCAGGGGCTCATCCCAAGTGCTCCATTTGCACCTGGCCTCCACCGCCTTCTTCTGCAGCTGCTTCAGCTAATTAGCTGCCCTTTCCCTATCCAGGCATGAAGATTTATGCAATTATGCAGTCAATGTATTTTGTAAACCATCTGTCCTTTATTTTAATCCTCTAGGAAGGTGACAAGAAGGCAATGCAATTTCTAAATTACGTTGAGGGCTGGGGAGATAGCTTAGCAGTCTAAGAAAATACCTGGCAAGTGCAAGGTCCTGATTTCAATCCTTGGTACTGCATGCTGTGCGGCCCCAGAACCCCATGCTGGCCCTGAAACTGGGTGTGTGGCGCAGGCCTGTAATCCCTGCTGGGGAGGCCAAGAGAGAAAGCTCACTATGAGTCCAAACTACATAGTGAGACCCTGTATCAACAAAAAATAAAAATAAATTTAAGAGGAAAATTATGTTGAATTTAATTCTATCCAGGCAGAAGGGATGTATCAGTCCTCTAATCATATTTAGAGATTGAGTTTGATATGAGAGCACATCTTTTCTGTATCTGTTCTAGCAAAGTTAAATGAGCTGTACTTACGGGGTTTTTTTTGATCGGGGGGGTTTAATACTGGGATCAAACTTAGGACCTTGCACTTGCCAGGCAAGCGCTCATGCCACTGAGTTTACATGCGCTGTACTTAAAAACTTTTTTTTTTTACATCATTCTCTTGATTTCCTTTAAGAAAAGCTGTAAGTAGTGAAGTAGTCGTGGTTTTTTTTGTGTTTGTTTGGGTTTTTTGTATTTTTAAAAAATGTATGTGGTACAGGGTCTCACTACACATCTCAGACTCATAGTAATCCTTCTGTTTTCGGCCTCCCCATTGCTGGGGTTGTAGATGTGCGCCACCACTCCGGCTCTCAGTGGCCAGCTCAGCACACCTGGGGAGGGGCTGGCGTGGCATGCGGTGCCAGGGATTGCACCCCAGTCCCTGAGCTTGCCTAAGCAGGCGAGTAGTCTGCTAAGCTATCTCAGAGGCCCTAGTAGTAATGTTCTATGTTGTCGTTTTTTTTAATCTCTTAATCTGGATTCTCCCTAAATTTACACTGACAGAACCTAATATTTAAAAAACAATCAAACAAACAAAAAAAAAACAAGTATTTTTCTGAGAAAAAGAAATAAGAAGTTGGAGATGGGAAAACTTTCTAAACTTATCCAACTATTATTACTACTAACCTCACTTGGTTTTAATTACATTTTAAGTGCTACTTATGGTGGTGTGAAAATTGCTATACTATTCCATGGATAATTGTACTGCTGATTTCTCTGCTGATCTATTGAAAACAGCAATTAATGTTTAGATTTTTTTTTCTCTCTTCTGTTTAATTTTTTGGACCAATTTTGCATGCTTATATGTGGTAATCTGAACAAGTAATTCAAAGAGAACAATATACAATATAACAATCATTGTTGAATTCCTATCATTTTGTTTAGTGAAATTCTGCATTGTTTTTATTTTTATTTTTTATTTTTGAGGAGATAAGATATATTTGACTTGAGGGGCTGGAGAGATGGCTCAGTGGTCTAAGGCACCTACTTAGAACAAGCTTGGCAAAGCATCAGGGACCGCGGTTCAATCCCCCAGCACCACATGCCAGCCAGCCCTGCCCCCTGGTGGGCTGAGCTGGACACACACACACACACACACACACACACACACATCTGTCTCTCTCTCTCTCTCAAATAAATAAAAATAAAAAAAAAATTAAAAAAAAAAGATATATTTGACTTGAACATTACATGCATGTCTATATGAACATTACATGATGTCTACACGCATTAAAATACCACAGAGCACACCATCAGTATGGGTAAATTTTATATTTCTTTGTATTTGTTAAAACATGTTTAAGTAAAAAGAAATGTCTGATAACTGCTACAAAAACAAGAAAGAAAAAAAAAAACAACTAAGAGTTCATGTTTTCTCACTAGCTTAGTCACATTGTTTTTTAATAGACTTTTTTAAAAATATTTTTTTACTCTCTTAAAAAAACGTACGATAGGTGGGCTGGAGAGATAGCTCAGTGGCATAAGTACCTGCCTGGCAGGCGCAAGATCCTGAGTTCAATCCCCAGTACTGAAAAAAAAAAATACTGTAAGAATCTAAATATCTATCTTTATTCCTTCCTCTCATTTTGTGAATTCTTTTTCTCTTCCCCTAAAGAGTAACTCTCATCTCAGTCCCACGCTGATTTTCTGGGAGAGTGCTACAGTATTTTCCTGGGTACTCTGCTAAATTTAAGTATCTGGTTTGGGGGGCTATAGTAAGAAGTAATTCCGCAGGCCATTTAATTGCGCACAACTTTGAGCTTTGTATTTGCGCTGCCGACGCTGTCCTGTGTCTGGAGTAGACCCATACAATCTTATATTTACTGGGAGAAAGAAAGCTCGCTTCCGAGAGAGAGGGACAGAAAGGGGGCCCAAACGTGTTGCCCAGGAAGTTGCCTTTTCTAGGGATTTTTATATAGTAAAACCATGTGTGAGGCAGGTCTAAGGAGAAGAACATGGGAACTCGCTTAGGTGGGCATGACATAGAAATTTGTTACCTAAATGAGTCCCATCCAGAGTCTATGAAAAAAAGCAAAGGTTACCTCCTCCCAGTGACCTCGTGGACAACCTCTGAGGGATAGGGGGAGTGCAACCCCCATGCTGAAAGGTACCCGGGCCGAGTCCATCTTCTCTGAAAGCAAAGAATGAATTTTAGGAGCAATGGAGGTTAAGAGCAGAATACATTTACTGGAAGAAAGCAAGCTCCTGGTGGAGAGAGGGACAGAAGGGGACCTGAGCAGGTTGTCTCTATCCCCAACTTTATTTATTTACTTTCTTTTAGTAAAGGTCTACAGGGTGTAGTGATCCGCCTCTGTTCAGCCTCCCGGAGAGCTGGGATTACAGGCAGGGCTACAGAGCTCAGTCTCAATTGCTGTTTTAGCGTGCCCCAGGGGGCAGGGCCTGCAGGGCAGGCTGGGGATCTAACCCCTCTGCCTAAGCAGCACTGTAATCCGATGAGCTATGTGGCCGGCCCTCCTGCCCCCAACTTTAGATTTAATCTTTATGTACCTTATTCCTCTCCAAGAAGATGATGTCACTGTCATGGTGATTATATTGACTGCCACTACAACACAAATGTTTGAAGCAAGTGAGAGAAGCAGGTACAAAACCATCCTGGACAGTGTCAGGTGAAATGGCTAGTGTTCAACTATGTCTGAACCAAGAGAATACAAGACTAAAGAATTTAGCAAGAATTGATAAACATGAATTACTACCTTCAGGTTTTGAAATGCCACCGAACAAGTACAGGCCAAATAAGAGCGCAGTTTATATGGTAGTAGTTTCCAGGCAAAGACTCTTGGGGATTAGTCGGGGATTAGTCACCTGCCTAATAAACGTGCAGCATTCTGTGACTGCTTGGGGAGGGCCTCGAAGGAAAAAGGGCCGGGCCTGTGCGTGATTGGTTGCCAGACTCTTTCCTGTTCAGGGAGAGGTTGTCAGCGGGGTGTGAATCAGACTGTGTATTCCGAGAGGCCTGAGCAAGATGGTGCAGTTTCTGAAAACTGTATCCCGTGAGAGGGGACTGAAGGACTAGGGGATATTTTTTTTACAACCCTGATGATGAGACTAGAAGAATGAATTGGGATCTTAAACACCCATGGCAGAGGAAAGGCAGAAGTAAATTTCCTTGGAGGATATAATTTGAAACTTCGCGGTAGTATGCAAAGGCAGATTTGTTTCAGCATTTAAAAAAAAGCGTTCAGACAAGCAGAGCGGTTGGAACGGTTGGAACGTGGAATCTTACTGAATTGTGTCTTCTCTCTTGGTCCTGCCTTTTCTGTCAGAGATATCCCCAAGCAGATATTTTGCTTCATTTCATTTTTGCAATCCCTTCTTTTGCAAGACCTCTCTCGCCCTCCTCCCTCCCTCTCTCCCTCTCATTCTCTCATTCTCTCTCCCTCCCTCCCTCTTTCCCTCATTCTCTCTCCCTCCCTTCCTCTCCCCATCTCTCTCCCTCCCTCCCTCCCTATCTTTCTCTCTTCCCCTCTCTCCCTCTCTCCCTCTCCCTTCTCCTCACTTTCATACCCATTCTTCAGGGATGATTCTAACTTACCAACCTAGGCAGCCTAAATGATCTCCAAGGACCTGTTACTACTGTATTCTCTACGTCTTAGTTTCAAGTTGCCTTCCATAAAGAGTGGCCTTGTTTTTACACTAAACTTGCAATTCAGCTAAAGAAAAAGCAAGAATGGGAGAAAGAAATGTGGCCAGGTTATATAAGTATCCATGCAGAGCTTCAATAAAGATTGTGCTCCTGTTAAGTAGAACAATTTGAGTGATTTCCTGACTGCTATATTAATAAGAAAAGACCTGTGTCCTCACACCAAGTGGGCAAGGGCCAGACATACACGTTTTTCTCTGTGTGTATTTCTTTTCTTCTTGAACACCTTAGGCTGGGAATCTCTCTTCAGGCTTGCCTTCTGCAAATTGTGGGCTACAGAAATCTCATTGCAGACGTGGAAAAGCTGCGCAGGGAGCCCTACGATTCTGACAATCCCCAGCATGAAGAAATGCTTTTGAAGGTAAGTCCCTGTGACGCTTGCGTCCCTCTTCTGCTGCTGCGGCCCCTGCAGTGCTCAGAGGCTGGGGATCCTGCGCTGTGACTGCTGGAGGCGCCAGGGATTCTTGCTGATTCAGAGGTTGCTGGTAAAGTTTTCGGCAGAAAGTTCATGTGAGAAGTTAGCCGAAAAGCCCATTTACTTTTGGTATTGGAGAACACATCAGAGGTGACCTCTGTGGCTCTCAGAGTCACCTCGTTCTGATTGTTTCACATGTGCTGAAAGTTGGGAGGAGAAAAGCATTTGTCAGACAGCATCCTGGGGTTTTCATGTAGGACTTTTACTGTATATCAAAGATGAAGTTCATTTCCACTTAAGCGATAGCTCTCTTGGGAAATTTCCCAAGACAGTAATGCTGATTATTTATTCATGTAACTTGGAGAGTGTTCAAAGAAGAGGTATAGATTTATGTTTGGCATGTTAAAACTGTGGGACTATAATATGAAATCATAAATACGCTTGGCCCACTTTTTTATGAGCAGAATATATTTATTGAGGGAAAGAAAGCTCCTATCCAAAAGAGGGACAGGAGAGAGGTCCGAGTGATTTGTCCCCAGGCCCACTTTAAAAGAAAAGAAAGACGTTATAAATTTTATAGGCATTGTACATCATGACACATGCCTGTAATCCCAGCACTCAGGAGGCTGGCTGGAGGATTGCCATAAGTTCAAGGCCAGCCTGGGCTACATAGTGAGTTCAAGGCTAGTCTGAGTTATACGGCAAGACACTGTCTCAAAAAACAAACAAATTTTACAGGGAGCCAGTCTGTGGCTCCTTAGTAGACCAGCTTGCCTCCTACAGACAAGACTTAAGTTCCATCCCCAGCAGTGGAAAACACAACAAAACAAAGAACCATAGGCTCTCATGGTGTACTGTATGACATTACTAAAACTGTACCCCAAAAAAGACTGTATTTTGAGTTAAAGAAATTACCAAAGAAGAAATTACAACCAACCTACCAACCATTAGAACTACTTTTCTGAGATGTTGTATATATTCCCTTATGAAAATAGGTGCTTTTTAAGAGTACTTTTTCCCTTCTTCCTAGAATTCAAAAAAACAGTGACACAATTGGGAGGACGCATTTGCTTGGCTGCCTTAACTTTGTCTTATGGAAAATGTCAATAGATGACGTAATTTTAAAACTGTATCCTACTGTGTTTTCTGTGAATGAGTTTCCATTTTATGTATGTAAGTACTTAAGCAGATGACTCGTTTGTCCCTATTAATTAGTGTTGGATCGATATGAGTCATTAAAAATTAAAGAGGCCTCGTTTTTTGGCAGTAGTTGTTCATTTACTCCTTTTCCTCTGTTTAATTGTAGCTAATCTAATAGCTAAGTTCATCTCCTTTTACTGCCTTTTTCTCCCCGACCATATTCTGTTGGAGGTAGTCAAGTTCAACACAGTGGGAATTAAGAGATGAATGAAAGTATCCCCACTGAGCCCTGCCAGCCCACCCCTGGGGCACGCTGAGATGGCAATTGAGACTGGGTGCCCTGGTGCGCGCCTGTAATCCCAGCTCTTGGGAGGCTGAACACAGGCAGATGACTACGAGTCCTATCTACATAGTGAGCTGTAGACTCTGTAGACTCCGTCCTAAATACAAAGAGAGAGAGAGAGAGAGATGAATGAAAGCAAAAAGAAAAAAGTGGTAACTAGCACACTGGTCACAGGACTTGAACAATGCACTAGAAGTGCTGAGATGGCCTCAGAATTCCTGATGACACCTGAGTGCCTGCGGTATGACATCTTAGTTGATCTGCTGTGTGTGAGCTGGCACGTGGTCGGCTTTCGGTGAATCTGGGAGAATTCATGATTTACTGTAGGACATTAGCTACATGTTAAGAGCCGTTAAAAATTGTCTCATCAGTGGTTATAGTTTCAATATGTACATGTTAATCATTTTAATTGTCACAGAAGGTAGGTAAAGTAATGCTTGCTGTCCTTATATTAAAGGTGAGAAAAATGGCAAGCATTGTAGTCTAGTTTCTGATTCACACATGGGCAAATGATACAGCCAGAACTGGTTGCCACTGGGTTTGGCACCTGAGGCAAAGCATCTTTCTGCCCTGAAATGGCTTGCAGTCTAGTTGGGATATATTCTGCATCTACGAAACTCCCTAGATCTTATCCATAGAACACCCCAAACTATGTTGCAAATGTTTTCCATGTCCATAATCTTCTTCTGGCCATTGACTCCAACTTGGGACACTATAACCTTGTGATTCTGCCCACTAGCCGGTAGACTCTTTCCTTCAATCTCCGAAAATACTGCCAGAGGTATTCTTCTAAGACACAGGTTGAGGGATGTTATTCCCTAAATCAAGTACCTCCAGCTTCCTGTGTCCTATAGTAGAAGACCCATGTACCTTGGCATGACATTTGGCCTCTTTCCAGTGTTATTTCCTAAGCTGCTGCTTTTGTATCCCCACTAAATATTTCCACCATGTGCTATCAGTCACCATATGCGTGGGACCTTGCTGGCACTGTTATCTCAGCTACCCATTATTCTTACAGCAGAAACCAGCTTGTTTCTTAAATCATCGTTCCTTGAATTTTAAGTATTTTTGACCTTCCCCAACAAACACAGGAGTGAAAATTTTATTCTCTGCTTGAGCTTATGTAAATTCCAAGTATGATAATAATGACAGAAGTAAGAAACCGAGTGTTTGGTATGGACTAGTCATCGTGTAAGTGTTTCACACTATTTTTCATCAAGTTGTGGCAATAACCTTGTGCTGACATACTGGTATTACCCTATTTTTCAGATGAGGCAATTGAGGCCAAGCGATTTAAGTAATTGCGCAAACTCACCTGGCTAGAAAGGGCTTTTAGCAACTGTGCTGTATTGTCCCTTGAGAGAGAAACCATGCCTTGTGTTTCCAGGGGTTGATGCCTGGCTTGTGGTTGGGCTCCTTCACTTTAAAGATGGATAGTAATACTTTTGCTGCCTACTGCACAAAACTGTTTAGAGCACAAGTCAGCAAGCCAGGACCTGGGGTCCAAGTTTGGCTTGCTTTCCACTTCTATACATGTTTTCCTGGAAGGAAGCCACATTGGACTCACTTTTGTATAGTCTATGGCTGCTAACCTACCACCAAGGCAAAGTGAATTAGTTACAATAGAGGCCATGTGGCCCACAGAGCCCAAAATATTTGCCATCTGGTCCTTCACAAAGTTTGCTGGGCCCGGGTGAATAAACTCAGGTGATATACTACCAAATTGTTCAAGTGCTTTGTTTTATGAGAGGAGGAGGGCATTAACAGTGTTGCTACTTACTGTCCTAAAGTACCCTAAAAAATCCAGGATTTTGTGGTCACTTGCACGTAGGCTAGAAGTAAGTTGGATAATATTACCAGCTCACATAGCACTGTTACGTGAGTTATCCAAGTAAATGTTTCTATTGAAGGTTTTCTAACCACATTGAAATGCAGGCAGACTTAGGTGGATTCATCCACTTAATTGAAATCAGACAACCCAGATCTCTTCTCCTTTATTGATGAGAAGGCAGCCCTGTGGCGGCCATTGTGAGAAGCAGCGTTTCCAAGAAGTCCCTGACTCAAGGCTGAACGATGGCCGCCCCATGTCTGTTCTGAGGCAGACCTGAGACAAGACAGCGGCACCCACATAGGGCTGTGTAACGAACAGCCTCACCCGAGCCAGATATAAAGTCAGCTGCTGAGTGCCAGAAATGACCTTATCTTGGGCTGGCACCCTGCCTCCCACCATTATGTTTTCAAAGTAGATCCCGTCCATCAAAAGAAAAATAGCTGGTCGGGGAGATAGCTCAGTAGTCTAGAGTGCTAGGCAAGCTTAGGCAAAAGTCAGGGACCACAGTTTGACCCCCAGCACGTGCTTTGCCAGTCCTACCCCCAGGGCAAGCTGAGTGGAACACACACACACACACACACACACACACACACACACACGAAAAATAGCTCAAGGCTTCTTACCAGAAATATACCCAGAGCTGTACTTCACATAAGGATTTCAGCATAATTGGCTTTCATCTTTGAAGAAAGTGACCCTTTCTAAAGTAAATAGATTAGCAATTTATACAAGAACGTATTTTAGCCATTAGTCTAGTCTGCCATGATATGGGAAATTATAAAAATGGATATTTTAAAAAGCTTTTTATTATTCAAGCTTTCTACTCTTCCATCTAGTGAATGAGGTTTGTAACCTACCTACCAAATGAGTCACTTGTTTTTGCTGTTATTTCTCACTCACTGGCAGAACCCAGGATTGAACTCAGACCCTTGCGCTTGCCAGGCAAGCACTTATTCTAATGAGCCATCCTGGCCCCCACTCATTGGAATGAAACCAGGTGTTTATTAACTGTGTAGACTCTGAGATTACTTCAAGTTATTATGCAAGTGAATGCAGGGGGCTTTGCACTTTCTTCCCCTTTTGCTCCCTCTCCGTTTTGGCAGTGGCCAGATGAGTTCCTAGATGGTGTTTAGAAAGCCTTTCCCCTGTGGATCTTACCTGGCCTCGCCTTACCTAATCTCTTCTGATAAAGGTTCTGTTTTTATTTGTGCAGAGCACTAGCAAGTTCTCCAGTGTTTAGAAAAGGAGATTTTGTCTGCCCGTGTTTGATATTTGCTTTCAAGCATGACAGGTTTATTTTTTTTGCTGAACGTTTTCTCTTGCCCTTTAGATAATTGAGTTTACCTACTATAGTAGTCCATTAAAATATTGTATAATGTCAGTAGGAATTTTATATATGTCTAAAATAACCATAATAAAGGTGAACTGCAACTGTGTTTGTATTTTCTGTCATCAAATGTTGTGTTTATCATGTATCAGATATGTGAAAGTTCACATAAAGTACAGTGGTTTTATCGGTGTTCTATTTAAAATCCATAAAATGTATAATAAGCACTTTTGAAGTTGAATTATTTTTTAAATCATGAGGAAATGCTGCATTTTTGTTCATGCTTCATCTCTAATGATATAACTTTAGATATTTATAGTCTGAAAAGCGTGCCTGTGTGCCCACCTATGTTAGGAAGAATACTTGAAGCATTGCATATTTATACAACTCTAGGTCTCAGTCTTTGTCAAGTAATGACATAAGCTAAATCTAGCTTTCTGGGGAACACTTAAACACATAAAACAGTTTATTAACCAATGAAGAGGAAAATATTTAGAATTTCTATTTCCCATTAGATAATTGATATTAATTGAAATTCTTCGAGGCAACTCTTAAAGATGACGATACATTTCATGTTTATTAATAAACATTACTGACATGCCTTTATTGGGCTATACAGTAACATTAACTCTCACTCCATTTTCAAGAAATTCCCAGGAGATGATACTCAAGTCAGTCTGCTTTTCATTTTGTTAACTGTGCTGCTAAAAGTTTTGATAGGATGTTAGGCATTTTCTGAGGAGTTGAATAATAGATGACTTCAAAATTCTCTCTGTTCTCCCTTTCCCTTTCTACCTTGAATATTTTAGACAGCCACAAACAGCTTTCTTGTGTGGGGGGAGGGGGTTGTCTGGCCACCTACACATCTAATTTCTAATTTGAAAGGCTTAAAGCACCGAACTAGATAAGCACACAGTACATGACCTTTCAGGCGAGGACAGCACTAACTGCAGCCTCCTGAAAATTCCACCGTTTACTCCTGAGAGTAAGAAGACACAGCCTCCTCTGACTTCTGTTATGAAGCAGTGTTGCTTTGGTTGCATTGAGGTTGAAGAGATCTTGGGTATCTCTAGTGATTTTTCAGCCTATACTTTGAGAATTGCTATAATAGCTAAAAGATGATCACATTTTCAATTGTAATATATCTGTATATACTCAGCTTTGCAGAGCCTTTTCTAATGATGTAGTTGACAAAATCTGGAGCAATAGGAAAGAATTTTTCTGTCTATCTATCGACAAGATTATTCTCTTTTGTCTGTAGTTGTGGCAGTTCTTGAAGCCAAATACTCCACTGGAATCACGGATTTCTAAGCAATGGTGTGAAATTGGTTTCCAAGGTGATGATCCTAAAACAGACTTTCGAGGAATGGGACTTCTGGGACTGTACAATTTGCAGTAAGTAAAACGAAGACTAGTTAAGTATAGAGTGATGCTCTAAGTAGAAGGTCTTTCTCATGTGAAAAAGACAAAATGGAGTTATTCTAAAAGTCACTTCCCAAAAGACACCAAGAGAACATTCAAGTCCTCTGAGAAGTAACTCAGGTTCATAAAATTTTAAAAGCTACCAGGTTCTTCCTTCTATTTCAGCAGACTTCATAGATTTTTTTTTGTAGGAAATCTGAGGCATATTATGAATAACTTTAAACTCTAGGTAAAAACATAAGGAAGGCAGTAGAAGATCGCCTTCTACTGATGACCGCCCCTTACTTGGTAATTGTTCAAGTTTGAAATACTCCTAACACTTGTGTTTGGTGAACACCCCCCACTCTTGTCATTTCACCACTGGACAGGCTGAGGAGGTCACTGTCAAGAGGGGAAGGGGACCTCAGATCCACCCAGGCAGGTCCTTTCTGGAGAGGCAGGAGCTGATTGTTAGGAAGACAAGAGAAAGTGGGGAAAGGCTTTCGCTGAAGGAGCTCAGGGGGGCACAGCTCTGGCACAGAAGCACAGACTGGCCTTGCAGCAAAGGAAAGAAGCTAACCTTTATGGCTCCAGTCATTATCAGTCCTGGTTTTGTTAAGGCTCTGGAGAAGCCCTTGTGGCCTGACGGGGCCCTCCAGCCCCCAGGTGGTGGTTGTCTCTGCTGGGGGCCTTCTCAGTTTTGTGGAGACTGCTGAAATCCAAGGTGATGGCTCTGTTTAGGGACTGACTTCTGTTTGTAGTTGAGTGTCTCTAAATCACTAATCTTGATGTTCTCAGTCCTGAAAAGAGGTAAAATAGGTTATGTAAATGTAGGGCTAATTAACAGTTTTCCAATAGACACTTCCTAATTGATTGGCATACTGATATGCATTGTTGAGCAGGGATCTGACCCAAAGTTTCGAGTTAATAAAAGGGACAGAAACAAACTAAAGCTTAACCTGGTCACTTTCCCTGTTTCCAAGACACAGAACCTGTGACCCACAGATTAAAGGAATAAGGTTTGTTTCAGCTCATGATTTAGAGCGATCAGTCTAGCACGGTTGGCCCCCACCGAGGGAGGAGCAGTCCCATGGCAGAGCCTGGCGAGGAGCAACGTGCACATGCGTATCACAGCGATCGGAGGGCGGTCGTGAGGGGAGAGGCCAGGGAAGCAGGTAGGGTTTCCCTCTCAGCCCCAGGGACTCGCTTCTGAGCAGCCCCAGCTCTACGCAGCACCTCAGCTGCTGCATCTGCTGATGGACAGAGCCCCAAGGTCCGGTGTGCCCCGCCTCCAAGCACAGGGAGATTTGGGGGCGCATCTAGAGCTAAACCATAGCAAAGGTCAAGTTTTACTTTTTTTTTTTTTTTTTTAAACTCACTGGGCTTCTGTAGGCCCAAATGAATGGTTACTGTTTTTTGTTTTGTTTTCATTTGCACAAATAGCTTTTCAGGCCTGACTGCCTCCGAAGAATACACAAGTCAGGCTTTTAATGAGTTGAAGTTTCAGGACTTCACCTGCCTTTGTTCCTGTGATGGTCTCAGATTATCTCAGCTTGATTCTTTATATTTCAATATGCAGCTCTAAAAAATATCAATATCACCTTGTGTCACTCCTAACAATCTGTGCCCAGTCCATGTTCAAATTGGCCATTCTCTCAAAAATGACTTTTTTTTTTGTTTTACAGCTGGATATGTTCAAATGCAATCCCGTGTAAGACCTACAAGTTATACTCTGTTAATATGTTCCTTGAGTCTTTTTCAATTACCAGTCAACTCCATCCTCCCAGTTTGATCTTTCTGCATTTCACCATCTTGGGGAGGATTCTGGGTCAGTTGGCTGACACCGTGCCTGGTGGTCTGCTCTGTCTGTCTGTTCTCACGCCCAGCCCTGGTGTTTGTGAACTGAGGAATTTGGAAAGGCTTGTGGAGACTGGACCTACCTTCACCACGGGAGCCTTGCATGGTCCCTCCACAGCCGCCCTGTGCTGAAATGGGCCAGAGGGATCACCGGCCGCTGGCTCTGTTGTAGAGCTGTCATCACCCTCTCCGCCTTCCATAATCTTCACTGAACCATTAATTGATTGTGCAAATCTGCTTTTCTGGTTCTGTTAGACTTCACTTAGGCTCATTGTTCATCTTTGGTTGCCAATTCTAGGAAGTTGGTGTCCTAGTCCCCCTGTGAGTGATTAAAATTTTTTGCTCCCTGTATTTTTAATTATTTTTGTTAATTTCTTATGCTTTTATATGTACTGTAATTCAACTGATTGCACTCATTTTTTCATACTTAAATACAGTCATCACTTACCAGTATTTTTCAAATCAAAGGGAATCATTTCAAGTTGGTTCTTGTGTCCTTTGACACCACCCTATTAGTAAGGAGAGTGATTTGTTTTTAAAAGAAACTAAATGTCTTGGTTACTTTCTCTCCTTGCTGAGAAAATACCCAGCATCCCAAATTAAGGAAGGAAAGGTTTTTAGCCCACAGTTTGTGGAGGTTTCAGTCTATAATCAGCTGGCTCCAAGGCAGGCTGGCCTGGCACAGGGGCAGCGCTTCACGGCGGCAGAAGACAGCCAAAGCAGCAGGACCACCAGGGGGAGCAAGCCTCTTTTCCTCCCTTATGGTGCCACTGCCGACAGGCCATCCACCCGCAGGTCGGCCTCGCACTCCTCTCCCTGCCCTCCTCTCGCACAGGCTTGAGATGTTTACCAAGTGAGGACCCCGGCTCCTTGCTGTGCTCCTTAGTCAGCCTTCTATACTCTGAAGTTAACACGGCGCATCCACCATGACACTAAATTTAGCCATTTTGGGCGACATCACATTTTTCTCCCTAGATTTCTCTCTGTGAATTTAGAAAGTTTAATCATCACTCATTTTCTATGCAATGCTTGAAATGCTACATTACCAGGCAATGTGACTGAACAGAAAATAGGTCTAATGACTAAGGTGGTGTCACAGTTGTGGTTTTGAACAACTGGAACTGGGAGATTTGGCCTTCCATTTAGAAAATCTCTGCCTCACCTCTGTTCATGAGCTAGAAGTAAAAAACAAGTCTTCCTAACTTTTAAGAGGAACTCTTTAAGCTATCTGAGTAAGGAAGGATCTCTTAGAGATAGACCAAAAGCAAAAAGCACCAGCTGAAAAAGAATTAATAAATATCTGTAAGATGGCACCATAAACAAAGTAAAATTAAGCAAGGTTGACACTCACATAAATGTCCTATAGTTGACATATTATTCTCTATGGGATTACTTGCCCTGTCTGACAACAGTTATAACTATCACTGCCCTCCAGAATATGAACAGAGAAAACACTAAGGAAGAAATGTAGAGGACCATCGAAAACATGAAATGAAACTCAATTTCATTAAAAATCATAAATTGGTTTGAAATATTTTAAAGAAATATTCAATAGCTTTTTTTAACCCTTTGATTTTTTTTTTTCTTTTTGCGATATTAGAGATCCACCTTAGGCTTTATGCATGCTAAACAAGCACTCTGCCACAGAGCTATGTCCCCAGCCCATCCATGAAATTATATACAATCAAATTCAATAACATATGCCATAGTTTTATTTTATTATCTTTAGAAGTACTTTGCATGAAGTGTTTTTGAGAATGAGCTTTTGTATTTACTGGGAAACTTCATTGTCCCCTTTCTCCCAAAACCAATTGTACTTTTTAGTATCTGAAAGCTCCACTAGCACTTTTCTGTTCCAGCACCCCGTGATTGTCCTCCAAGAAAAGTCTGAAAGGCAGCTCCACGCACTCCCCAGAGTTCATTCTCTCTGCCCTTTGGCTGTCACAGCCCTCATCACGTTCCTTCTCCCAGGCTTCTGCCATCTGAAGTTTTCAAAAACTGAGCCACTTGACCCCCTTATCTATAACTCTTGGTAAACATATACTTGGCTTCCTGAGGAATAGCAAAATTCACACCTGAATCTTCAGATCTACTGAGTCCGTTCCTAGGTCTAGCTGGTCTCATACCCACCCTACCATGTTACTTTTGGAAAAAACTCTTATGAAAAGCTGTTCTCTGGAGAAACTGAAAGAAGTACTGATCTTAAGCAGGTATCCATCTCTGAATCCAGAATGACCACAAGTTGGATGACAATGCATTGAGTTATGTCTGTCTTTCCCTCCACATGCAGGTATTTTGCAGAAAGGGATACTGCCTCAGCTCAGCGGGTCCTCTCTGACTCTCTTCACCCAAAGTGCAGGTAAATGTTCAAAATAAAAGATGGATTAGAGTGACTGGGAGAGGAAAGATCACCTCATGGGAGGCTGTAGATGAGATTATCAGGAGAGATAATCCAGCACAGCTGAGATAGCTCTTGGACAAGCCCTTAGGATAAGTGCTGTCTAGAGTGTTAGGACTTCAAGCACACGCCAGAGTTTAGATGCAAAGAGGCACCACTGGAACATATTCATACTGTCACTTGTGTCTGGGAAGATTGACCAGTAGGCGTGAAAGAAGCACAGGTCCTGAGAGAAAAGTTTTGAGAGATAAGGAGTGTGCAGGGGAATAGCAGGAAGAAAGGGATTCCTGAGGTCAGTGGCCGCTGAGAAATTACTGTGACAGAAATTACTGAGTCTGAAATTACCAAGGCTATTGTTTGTTTGCTTGCTTGTCTATTTTTAAATCATTCTGAATTATTTGCCTCTTTATTTCCCTTTCTCAATCTTTTTCTTTAACTGAATACATGAAGGGATATCACTAAAGAGGAAATAAGGTATTTGCTTGGCTTTTGTGTTTGGTTGCTTTTGTTTTAAAATGAACTTTAGAATTTTTGACAGAAATGTGGATAATTGAAAATGTTCCCAAATGGAACATTTCCCAGCTTTTTATCTAATGTGGTTAATTATTTGGAGACTGTGTTTTAATGAAAAGCTGAAAAGCAGATTATACTAATCTGATGGAAAACATCCAAGAGCCTTTCTCCAGCCATAACCGTAGCTGTGACTGGTCGGAGAGACATTCTGAACCCTGCGCTGACAGGGCAAGGTGTGCTCACCACCGTGACCTCACCCCCAAGAAGGATAGCTTGTGCGGGAATTTTGTCAGACAAAAAAGATTGTCCTTCTGTTAATGTATTTCTTTCATTAATATCAGTCATATTTAGAGAGAGAGAGAGAGAGAGAGAGAGAGAGAGAGAGAGAGAGAGAGAAGGTGTTTGTTAGTAGCCATTTTTATGAAGAGTTCTGTTACTTTGTGGTCATGGTTTTGTTTGATTTTTTTCTTCTCAGCATTGTGGAAGGTTAGTTGTTAGTATTCTTGTTGTCTAAACAAATCTAAATTTTTACCATATGATTCTCAAAGTTCATGGAAAGCTTTATTTGCCCCCCATCTTGCTATTATACTCATTTTAGCTTCACTTGTCTAAGGTTCATTAAATCACATTATACTTTCCCAAATTTAAGTTTAAAATCTTTTTTTAACTTAAGATCATTTGATGTTCCTAATTTTAAGGAAATCCCTTAACTGTTTCTTGGTGCAGTGCATGGTTACAATCAAGCTGGTCTGTTTTTATTTTATTTTTTTGTTCTGGTTTTTAAACTGCATCTTCTCTATTGCTTATTCCTGTGGTACAGAGCACCTGAGCTCCCTAAAATTGGCTAAGTCTGTGTATACTCAGGGGGCATTTCCTAGAGGAACATCAGGCAGAAGACAGGAACCCTCTGTGGTCCTTGCAAAGTAACAGTAGTCTGAAAATATTTTTTGGTTAACCATGGAAAGGAGAACAATTTTGTCTGTGAGCCAGTATCAAAGAAAAACTTCGTATTTGTACTTTCTATGTCAGCCATCGCAGAGGAGTTGAGAGTTTGTGTATCTATTCTTTACTTAAGAAGAGACTGCATTTGTGTGTGTGTGTGTGTGTGTGTGTGTGTGTGTTGTGTATATGCATAATAAGCATGGATATAACATTATAGTTTGTATCACTCAAGCCTCAGTGCAGTTGAAGAAATGAAGATCAGGTATTGTTTCTAATTGACTGTGTCACTCACTGTGTACAAATCAGAATACTTTAGAAATCTACTATCCATCACTGATGACTGAAAGAAATACCCTAAACAGTTAGGGTGTCAACTCTGGTTCTGTCAGACCTTGAGTATTCCACCTGTTCAGCGGCGAGAGGACAGCACTCACTAGGAGAGCGCCTCCTGCTGGGCCTTCAGCCAGTGACACCTGCTGCTCTTGAAAATGTCCATGCGTGGAGTCCAGGCACAGCTGGCAGGATGAGTGTAGAGTCGATTCTAAGAGGAGAAGTTCGGCTTAGTTTTTAAGCTTGCTGTTTGTTTTTCCTCAAGAAAGGGATCTAATCTTTTTGAGCCAACGTGTCACCTGTCTAATCAAATAAGGGAAGGTCATGTGGCATTTCCTTGAAGATAAAAATCTAACAAATGTAGAGACACTATGTACTTGAAAGGCTTTTTTGAAGAGAAAATAGAAGTTTATAATTTCCTACATTAAAAAATTTACATGTAATTCTTTTTAGATGCATATGAGTCTTTTAAGGCAACAATCTGTTGCTTCTTTGAGTGTGTGGTTTGTTGATTAGAGGTTTTACTTCAAACACAGGTTGCCAATTTTAGCTTGAATTAAAAGCAGTTTCTTGGAATTACACCCAGTCGTTTGCAGAGTAGAAAGTGCACGTCAGATCTGCATAGCGTTTTTGTGTTTCTGTGCTGTGTGTGTTCCATGCGTGTTTTGTAATGCAGTGTCTGCCGTGCATTAGGGAGAACTCGCTCCTGCTAGATGAAAGCCAAGGACTCGTAACTCCGGTGTTACATTTTTATACTGACCTACAATTTTCAGTATAAAACACCCAGTAAAAGTTGTATCATTCACAAAGAAGAGCGGAATGTTGTTGCCGCCTCCAAGACACTGGCTGTTTGACCCAGTGGGATGGGATAGATGCGCAAGTACACGAAATAGTAGAACACAAGGCAGTGCTTCCAAATGCATCTTGACTGTTCCTTCCAACAATCTTTTTGCAAAGTTCAAATTCTAAACCAGATTAAAGCAGGGAGGCTAATACTCGACTGACAGCAGAGCCAGAGGACATGTTGGAGGATTTGTTGGCATCAAAGTTTTAAAACTAAGCCTTAGGGCCAGCCAGATAGCTCAGTGGACTAAAGCGCCTGCTTAGGCAGACGCAGGGGCCGGGGTTCCATCCCCAGATGCATGCCATCCCACCCCCAGGGCACGCTGAGACTGAGACTGAGACTGAGACTGGGTGTGGTGAAGCGCACCTATAATCCTAGTGCTTGGGAGGCTGAAAACAGGAGAATCACTGTGAGTCTGATCTACGTAGTGAGATCCTGTAGACCCTCTCCTAAATTCATTTAAAAAAAAATCCTTCCTTCCCTCCATCCTTCCTTTCCTCCCTCCCTCCGTTTCCTTCCTTTCCTTCCTTCCCTCCCTTCCTTTCTCCTTCCTTCCTTTCTTCCTTCTTACCTATTTACCTACCTTCCTACCTTTGTTTTGCTGACTCATATATTTCTTTATCGATAAACTTGTATTTGGCATCTGACTGTTAGTGTTCCAGTTTGCTGTTTGTTTTTCCTGAAGAAAGGGATCCAATCTTTTTAAGCCACGGTACCCGATAAGTATTCAGAATACACAGACATCACAGGTAAAGCTGAGTAGCTTAAATAAACTCCATGAAACAAGATGAGGCAGAGTCCAGTGTGGAGTCACAATGCGAGGTGACATCTAGGTAGAGAAAAGCGCAATGGCAGGCAGGCGTTCACAGAGGAGGTGGCCTTGGGTAGTTAATGATAAAAGAAAATCATAACATTTGGCTTGTAGCACTGTCTCCCACTGCTGTACCACAGCAAATAGGAGGTAAATAGCAAGGCCTTAAACACCCGTTGCTGAACCTCATGTAATTTCTTACTTCTAAAGTTCATAGTATTCAAATCGATTTGTGTTGGATTACTAGAATACAGACCTCTCTGCATAGAGTTAACAGCTTCAACATAAGCATTAAAAGAGAGAGTAAGTGCCAGGGAAAGACCACCTGTGCTTATTTGTTTGTTCATTCATTCATCCAGCAAGCTCAGCAAAGCAGAGTGGGAGAAGAAGAGAATGGACACAGCGATTGGGTAAGTGCGGGCTGCCCTGTGGGTTGGCGGCTGAGCCAGATGCAGAGCAGAACTGGCCTGGGAACACCGCGAAAGATGCCCCGCGTGAAATTCCACTCGTACTGATGGAAATGCAGAATTTGGTCAGACTTCTAGAAGGAGTAATTCATATGGTTTTAGAATTCTTTGTTTGATTATCTCATACTGCTTTGTAACCAACTGGTAAGATACAGGAAGGTATGACTGTGTGGAAATAATTTTCAGAAATTGTAGAGTTCCATTTGGTAATTTTCTTTTAAAGATTGCTGTCAAGTATTGGGCTATTAGACAAAAAATTACCTCAGAAGCTTTTTAAAATAATACTTACTTTAATCTGAACAACTACTTTGAAGATAACAATATGCCATTTAACAACCATAGCTGATTTCCTGTTATCTTGTTTCAAAATTCTATATCATTTTTAATGCTTTTGCAATTTTTTATTCTCTTTAAAAATATATTTATTTCATACAAAGATGTTTTTGTGCTGGAATTGTAATAGCGGAGAAAATTTAAGAGCTCAATTTTCTTTCATTCCTTTATTCATTTTTGTCTTTTTGAGACAGAGTCTCACTATGCAGTTCAGGCTGGCCTTTAGCTCACTTTGTAGCCCAGGCTGGCCTCAAACTCACAGCAATCTTCCTGCCTCACCCTCCCAAGTGCTGGGATTACAGGCATGTGCCACCACACCTGGCCTTTCATTTTAATAGATGTGTAAAAAAGAACCTAGAAAATATTCTTTGTGTTCATATAATTATTTAAATTTTTCTCATTTAAAAATCAATAGATGATTTATTATAGGAAATACAGGAAAATAAACTCAAAAAATCACTCCAATCTTATTACTCTTGCAAATCCCTATTAATATTTTGTGACATTTCATTCTGGACTTTTTTCCATGTGCATATGTATATGTATGCTAGAATTTGGCTTCTTCTATCCATAACATTTTATATCCTGTTCAAGTTATCCCTGAAAATGCAGTTTTAATCAGCTATAATATGTTACATGAGCTCACCCAATTTATTTCCGTAGCCTTCTTTTACCATGAATAGTTTCTGCATCTTGCCTTCACAAATAATACTGTAATGAATATCTTTAGGTATAGAGCTTTGACCACTCTATTTTTTAATCACATATCTGGAAACAGAATTACTGAATCAAAGTATATGAATTCTCATTTGTCTTTTTACACATTGCTGAAATTTTGTGATAAAATTAAAAAGTCAAGGCTTTGACTGGGTAGAGAAGGAAGGGGGTTTAATAGCAAGTTGAGCCTCAGCTGTCCTTCTGAAGTGCATTTCCCGCTTGCATCACTGGCTTGTGTGTCTCACCTTGCAGGTACTCTTTCGCCATCGTGGGCATCAATATAACCGACCTGGCTTACAATCTTCTGGTCAGTGGCGCCCTAAAAACCCATTTCTACAACATCGCACCAGAAGCGCCAACACTGTCTCACTTCCAGCAAACCTTTTGTAAGTGTCCTGTGGTGTTCAGCATGGGTTTCTGTACAGCACTGCAGACAAGAGGCAGCGCCTGGGACTTGGGGCTTGGCTGCTTTGGGGTCTTCTTCCTTTGATTCCAGTTTTCTCTTTGCTTATTTTCTCTTTCCAAAATATCTGTGTGTGTTCAGGAACCACGGACTCTTCTCTTTGCCAGCTCTTGCACAATACCCATTGTGTCATATTCTGGTTTGACTTAAAGGTGTCACAGGTGTCTGTCTCCCTTGGATCCAGCATGGCATCGCATTGAAAATTACAGCTCTATGGGCTGGCAAATAGCTCAGCGGATTAAAGTGCCTGCAAGCAGGTGCAGGGGCCAGGGGTTCGATCCCCAGGCCTGTTGTGTTGGCCCCGCCCCAGGCACACTGAAATGGTGATTGAGACTGGGTATTATGATGCACGCCTGTAGTCCCAGCACTTGGGAGGCTGTAAACAGGAGGATCACTACAAGTCTGATCTAGTAGTGAGGCCCTGAACACCCTGTAGACCCTTCTCTAAAAAAATACAGAAAAGAAAATTACAGCTCTGAAGACTGCCTGAGTTGGCTGTAGTCTGTGTTTTGGGAGAAAAGAAATCTCCAAGATTAGAAGATAAGGTAGAAAATTTGCACAGAAAGTAGAGCAGTGGGGTACTAATTAAAGACGGAAAATACAGAATGAAAAACTCAACGGGCTGTTCTAGGAAGTCTCATATTTGAAGAGTGGGTGTGCCAGAAAAAGTGAACACTAAATGGTGGGCATCCATGAGATATATCAAGAAAACTTTTCAGGACTGGAAAGTGCTGAAATATGGAAATCAGGATGGATTTCCATATTTAAACTAGTAAGCACCAACACACTCCGTTAAAATTGTCACACACTTGGGTTCACATCACTGTAAAATGTCAGGACACCTGAAAGAGATCACCCTGAAGTTTTCCATTGTTATCAGAGAATTTGGAATTAACATGACATTGGTCTTCGCAACAGCAGCAATATTATATTTTAAAAGTGGAATAATGTTGGCAGAAATTTAACCATTTATAAGGGAAATGTGATTTCCAGTGTAGAATTCTATTCTTAGGCTAATTTACCAATTAAATATTGAAATAAAATGAAGCCTTTTATTGCAAGGTCTTGAACATTTTACTTCCTTGTACCTTTCTCAAGAAGCTCCTGAAAGACACATTTCCACAAAATAAAAAAATAATTCTAAGGGCTGGCGATAGAGCTCAGTGGACTAAGCACTTGCGTAGGTAAGTGCAGGGGCCAGGGCTCGATCCCAGGCACTACGTGCAGCTCCAGCCCCGCCCCCTGGTGCACTGAGCCAGCGATGGAGTCCAAGTGTGGTGGCACATGCCTGTAATCCCAGCACTAGGGAGGCAAAAATCAGAAGGATCACTATGAGTCCAAGCTGCGTAGTGAGACCCTGCACACACACACAAACAAACAAAACTTAATAAATCCTAAAAGGAATAAATGGATCCAAAAAGGAAAAGTGAAGGGAATCTTCAGGTTGAAGGTGAAGAAAAAAACCCAAAATCCTATCTGTGGAATAGGCTCAGAAGAACAATGGCTCTAGGGGAAATCACAAGGCTCTAAGGGACTGAAGGACATGACCCGGCCGACTGTCACCATGTTTGAATGCATTCAGAAGACATTGGTGTACAGTACTTGGAGGATGGCTTAAGGTTAACAAGGGAAACCTAAGCAAATAAACAAGAATGCACTTGGTAATACTGGGCAGTAAAATAAGAGTGAGAATAAGCAAGCATGTGGTTGGGTAGAAGGGTGCTAACTCTTAAAAAAATATCCAGCAGTGGAAAGTGTATTAGCCTTATAGACAGCAGTAGTCAACGTAATCAGCTAAAAACATTAACATGCAGGAACTAGGGCAAGGGAGGCTGCTACTTTTTGTTTTTGTAATGCTACTCATTAAACTATTTGACTCTGAATAATGTACATATCTAACTTAGGTAAAAATAAAAAGAATTTAAAGATGCATATACTTTATGACTTAATAAAATGTGAACTCTGCATAGCTATTACAGCTTGTCTTGACAATTAGATGGTTTACTTACTCCTGTAATAATTCTGACATGGCCAATAAATATTATTAAGACTTTACTTAATATTATTAAGATCAGGCTTTGTAATAAGGCAGACAGGCATCTAAATAAACAAATAATACATAGTGGAAAGAATTTTGTAGTGAGGAAGTAAAGTTGCTAACTTTAAGACCAGCTAAGGCCTAAAAATAGCTCTCATAGTTCACTGGTATGAAAATCAGAGAAAGTTTCTCAAAGCAAATGCCATTGTCAGTGAGACTTGAGGGAGATGAGTGGTGGAGAAATAAAGCAGTGGTGGCTGGACACCCAGGCTGAGGAAGCAACAAGGGCAATGACCATAGTGCAGGAAGGAGAGGTGGATCCATGGGACAGAGCTGAGGGTGTGAGCAGGGAGTGACGGAGCTGCTGCTGGAACTGGAAAGGTGGGGTTGGGGCAGGTGTGACGTGTTCTGTGTCTCATTAAAGAGTGAATTTGTAGCTCAATAAAAACTCATCCTATGTTTCCTTAGCCCATAATATTTACTCTGTTCTATCTTTCCATGCTCGTTAGAGAAATCATGGAAACAAATTTTAAGGGAATATAGAAGGAGTTTGATTTTAGGCAAACCAAAGGCAAGTTCCTTTGGGAAGTCCACATGGAGCCAGAGAGAACACATCCTAATAATGTAAGGTGTTGGAGCTCTGGAGAATTAAAAGACTTAATCTGTAGACTTGGAATTCATCAACACTGGAGAAAAAGCCAGAGCTACACAGTAAAGTGAGGTTCTTCTCCTAGGAAATAGTCAAAGCTAACACCATAGAAAATTTGCAAGTCAGCATAGCAAGGTCTGTTTCATTTCTGCCCTCCTCAGTACAGAGCTTAGTACAGAGCAGGTGCTCTGCAACTCTTTGTTGGATGGATGGATGGATGGATGCATGGGTGGGTGGGTGGATGGATGGATGCGGTGGGTAGATAGATGGGTGGGGTGGGTGAAGGATGGATGGGTTTGTGGTTGGGTGGGTGTGCATGTGGATGGGTGGATGAGTGGCTGGCTAGATGAGTGGGTAAATGGATGGATGGATGGATGGATGGATGGATGGATGGATGGATGGATGGATGGATGGATGGGTGGGTGGATGGATGGATGGATGGGAGCCTAAAATATCAGGTGATGTTTGTTCTTTTAAGTAAGAAAAGAAATCTGGCTGATCTGGAAATTTTTAGCTTTGGCCTAAATTGATAGGTTTCCAGGAGAAAGCTGGCCCAGATGAGTAAGCAGTCAACACTGTACTTGTCTCCCTGGCTATTCTTCAGATTTTAGAAACAGCAGCAGTCTCCTGTGGCGGGGGTTATAGGCAGAGGGACTCAGGAGTCTTGAGAGGAAGCAAAGGCGCCCAGATTTATTATTCATCCACAGGCAGAACGAGCTCTGTGGGCCTCCTCCGCAGCATTCTGGTGATTACCCGTGTCCTTGCGGGTCCTCCGCTCTCCTAACTGGATGCAGTGAAGCAAAACCGAGACACATTTAAGCAGCAATAAATATGCTTCAGGCTCAGAATGGAAAGCCAGATTAATATTCAAAACAGGCATTTTATCTAGGTGGAAGAATATAAGAATATAATAGCTCTATCATTCTGACATTTTCGTGTTATTCGCTGAAAATTGTACTGCCAAGGAAACAAGGTACAAAAATTGCATTCAGTCAAAAGTGCCACTGAACAGGGTCCCACTGAACAGAGTCCCACTGAAGCAGAGGGAAGTTGCATATTGTAAGCAAAGGAAGGTACAGTGGCCAGAAGGAGAGCAGCAATTTTTCTTTGACCTTCAGAAACAAGGCACTAGTCAGTAGGAAGGAGAACCAGAGGAGTGGGATCTACTGGGAGAAACAGCCTGTTGCCTTGGTAGGCGGCCAGCTGGTTTCAGGTCCTGGCTTCCAGCTGTAATTGTTAATTGTGCAGTATCTTGTCTGAGCCCAGACTCTTCCTCTGCCAAATGGAGATACAGAATCTGCACTGCCTTCCCACACAGTTGTTGCAAGAATTAATTGAGAGACTGTGAGGTTAATAGCTTGACCTCTGTTTTCTCCCTCTCCTTTCCACACCTCGTTGCTAGCTTCCTTAGCTCACAGTCACCAGCTATAACTGTATACCTGCCTCGCTCTTTCCAAGAGACAGAATTAGGGAACACAGGGACACTGCCTGTTGCTTTGTCTCCAGTACCACTGCTGCGTCTGTTACATGTTTGTTAGTTGACAGAGGGGTCATCTGACCCATTGGCCAAATGAGCCTTTGAACACTCTGTAATATTATATGGAGTGGAACTTTATAATCATAGCATTCACCTTGGAAGCCAGAACACCATTTCTTTATTTTATTACAGTCATAGTACATGGTCTGTATTTTCCTGATGGGATAGAGTGAATACTAGGAGATCCATCTCTAAGTTTTACAGTTTGAATTTTTAGCCTTAAGAGGAAGTAACATAGGGCTGGGGAGTTAGCGCAGTAGAATAAGTGCTTGTCTGGCAAGCACAAGGGCCTGAGTTCAATCCCCAGTTCCACCAAAAAAACAAAAACAAAAAAAAAAAACCCACAAAAGAAGAGGAAGTATCATGAAAATGCATCAGCTTATGAGCCACTGCCACCTCTACCCCAGCCCTGGCCAACATTTTAACCCTTCCAAGATGTTTTTCTGTTATTGTACTTAAGTTAGAAAATGGGAAAACAAAAACATCTGCATTTATATATAAAATAACATGCTGTACTACATCATCTTTAGAGTAGGTTTCCAACACACCTGCACATTATAGAAAAATGAACATGCTATGTAGATTGCCAGAACTTCAATTCCTCATTAAAAGGTGATGGTAAATGTGGAGATAGAGATGCTATCTATACTGACTTGATTATTCCACATCATACATGTACTTCACATTATCATGCTATAACCTGTATATGTATAATTAAAAATAAAAATTTTAAAAATGATTTTTCGCACTGCCTACTTATCATTGGCTTTAGGAGTGAAGATGCTTTTGCTCTTGAGGTATTAATGAGATTCATCATGAATTATTTGGACTCATAGTATCAGAAACCTGACCCTCTACACAAAATAACCGAGCTGTGTTTGAGTTCAAAAACCAAGGACAATTATATGTGTATTTTATTTATTTAGAAATCATACATGATTATAAATTTCTTTTAGAGCCATACAAATTATATTTAGAAGGAAACCAGGAAACAGAGATGGCATCTTGTAGACCAAATGTTCTTAAACTTCATTACACGATATTCACCCTACTGAATTGCTAGTATGGCTGTATCTGGTAGGATCTCTATTTTTTTTTTTTTTTTTTTTATGACTGAACTATTATAAATCCACAAGCAACAGTTCAGACATGGTGCTTCTATTTTCAATCAATGGGATATTTTAGGATTTTTCTAACAGCAGCAACAGAGATATGGTTGAGTACTTGTGGTTGAGTAGGACACTAAGACTGCAGGAACTAAGTTTCTGTTGGCATTTGTTCAAATAGCCAGTATGGTAAGCAGATTCATACGTGGCACATGAGAAATGAGGAGCACCAGGGATGTCTAGCCTAGACAGGAGGTGAGTGCGGGCATAAGGCACACTTCAGATGCTTGAGTTGGAAGAACGATAGAATTTGTTCCAGGAGCTATCGTGCAGTAGCTCTAGGCCTAGCATGAGAAAGAATCAGAATTTTCAGAATTTGACTCCCTGTCCCCAGAGCCTTCGTGTTGTCCCTGGAGACACTGTGTGTGGGTGCTGCCTTGGCCCCCCCCCAGGAAATCCAGACAGCAGGGGCAGCTGCTGTGGCTCTTGGGATGCTGCTGACATGCTGATCCGGGCTCTGCAGGCATCAGCCCCAGCGCTGGCGGCCCACGGGCCAGCGGGGAAGCAGTGCCGTGCGCCGGCTTTAGAGACAGCCGAAGCAGTCGTGCCAGTTACAGAGAGACAGACTCGTCCTGAAACAAGTAGGACAGTCGCCCCAGAACACCTGAGAAATATTTTCTCCCCTTTCTCTACATGTGTGGAAAGTCATGTCCTTAAAGAGTGTACTCAAAACATGAACAAGAAGCAACGGAGCCACTGGCTGACAATATGCGTCATTAGGAAAGAGGCTGCTCCTAATTGCGTGTTAGAGTGAAATGTGAATAAAACTTTTTAAAAATCTGTTAACTATGTTGAAGGTATTTTCATTGCTAGCTAGTTCTAAGTATGTGTTTGTTCTGGCTTCTCATCCATCCTGTGCCCTCCCTCCTCATCGCCCCTCCTCGCTCCTCCCCATTTCTGTTTATAAATAGAGGAGGAAAAAAATAAAATAAAATAGAGGAGAAGCTGAGGTTCCAGTCAGGGCTTTGGCTTCTCCTGTTCTACTGTGCTAAAGTTAAGATAAATTCTATAATTTTTTTTTCTCTCTCTCTGTCTCCCTCCCTCCCTCCCTCCATCTTCCCCCTCTCTTTCATGCCATTTGTCCCCCTTTTCCCTCTCTACTAATTAGCATTATTTCTTTCAATACATTTTTCTAATATAGAGACACCTGAACTTTCAGTTCTTAATTCAGTTTTAAATGTGCATAAATGAGCGAGCAAATGTTTTAGAGGGGGAGGGGCTACTGTGGGGAACCAAACACATGAAAAGATTCTTGTGTCAAGTGTTTCGCTCTTCCCCAAAATTTTCCCACTCCAGATCATTCCTGGATAACACTCATTAGACACAAAACACTTGAACATGAAATTGTGCTTCAAAGCAGAAAGTCTTAGAAACAGTTTCATGGACCTTAATGGCCCATCTGTGCTGCTCAAATTGATTTACATTGTTATTGTCTCATAATAGATTGTCAGAATGCATTCATTTGATTTGTCATGGTAACTTGAAACTTTGTTAGATATCAAGAGAGAAAGGCAGAGCCCAGTGATTTTGAAGAACCATACTGTAACTGGGAAGGAGAGAACGAAGCAGTCACTGTTGGCCTTTAAGGATGTGTTCCCAATATGATTCATATGAAGAGATGGCAGAATTGATTTGTCTTTCTGCTTTTTGGAAATGAGAATAATTCCAGAACCAATTGCAAAACTCTTGCAGATTGGTAGGCCACTACTCCAGTGGCCTTAAAAATACAACCTTAAATAGTCGCCTTTGCTAAATTTTGATGTCTTCTTCAGCTTCTTGTTTTGCTCTAATTCAGGATGCTTTTAAATATAATTAAGGACTTTTTCTCCTGCACTCTTATTGTCTTATCTCTGACAGGTTATTTGATGCACGAATTTCACGAATTTTGGATTGAAGAGGACCCCATGGACATAATGGAATTTAATCGTGTGCGTGAGAAATTCCGCAAGAGAATCCTAAAACAGCTGCAGAACCCAGACACGGCGCTGTGCCCACACTTTGCTGCCTCGGAAGGTTTAATCAACATGTAGCCACCCACTCTGGCTTTAGTGGAAACCCTGGAACACTGCCTCATTGTTGTGTTAGAGTTCTGCTTATGTCACAGCTCATACACTGAATGCACATGGTGATTAGATGCATGCCTTTTGGTACAGTATTTTCGTCTCTTGGTCATGACCCCAAGATCCCCAGATACCACTGTTTCTGGAGTGTCTGTCCTCTAGTGATGCTCGCATTGTGGCATTATGCAGTGTTACATCTTGCCTTGACACCCAGGTATGGAGAGAGTTTTCTATTTTTTTAGAATTTTTTTTCCTCTCCCTCATACTCAACATTAAAGACTTGTATTTCTCTAGCTATATTTTGTATGTAAGAGGTTTAGCTGAATCCTGTTCGCTGAAAGCCTTTTAATTTATTGATATGTTTCATGACTACTGCTGCTAGCTTTTCAAGCCAGATTCATGCTTAGACCTCATTCTGATAAAGTGTGAGACTTTACATTAGTGCAGACAGACACATGATAAGCCAAACTCTTCCTGCAAACATAGCTGCGCTTCACAAAGCCTGTAATGAGGCTTGCAGAAGTATTTAGGTAGGAGCTGTCTCATGTGAAGTACTGCAGAATTATATCATAACCTAACCCCAGTTGCAGTTGTGTCATCGTCATCTGGAGATCAAATTATTTTATTCCCATAATCTCACTGGCTTGGATGTCTAAGTGTATTTATGATGCTTGGAGCCTTAGGAAAAAAGTGAGCATGATTCAAAGGCTGCTAAGGAGGTTTCACTGCGCGTCTCTTGCTGAGAGTTCGCCCTAGCACTGTTCTGATCCAGGCATCTTTGCTTGGGGAATCGCGTGCTGGCTGATTTGTTTCCCATGTCAAGGGGCAAGATTTAAAAACAGCTTGTAAGAAAACATATTGCAGGAGGGGAACCTAAGCTGTGGCACTGCGGTGCTTCTTGCAAATAACGATCTTGTCTTGTATCAGTGAAAGAAGCGAATTGCTTGGAAGAAGATAAGTCAGATCATTCCAAAACTGCAAAGACTCATTTTGAAAATGTGATTTAGTTTGGAATTATGATTGTGGTCTGTTGCATAGTATTTACCATGGCATTTCATACCCATGGTATTTTATACTTTCGGACTATCAATTTTAGTATTATTAGATGTTGTGTAATCACTTGCTTATTTAAATGAATTTTGAGTACTGCCTAACTCAGTTATATGAATAAATTACATGTCATTCTACTGTACTGTTAGAGTGGATTTCATTTTAATGTGTTTTTTACTCATACACCTGGGTATGCAAATATGTGCGCTAGTAGAGTGTCAGAGACAAGCCAGAGCTGATTATAAGTCGCTGTCATTCAGAGTGACAAGTGTGAGCTACAGTGTGTTATGTCTGAGAGACTTCCTTAATCTTGAGGCTTGCTGGAGTTTTACGGGAAGAATAAGGTCCAATTTTTCCTTCATTACTTCCTATAATATCTTCTGTGGCTCCTGCAGGAAGCTGAGAAGAAGAAAACACTAACTACCCATTGTTTCCATCGGGTTTAGCTCCTCTGAGACTGTGTCCCACCTTCCCGTGCAGCATTTGAGGTGGCAGCATTTGCATTGGCTCTGTCACTGCCCCCAGGACCTTTTTTACAGTGCAAAAGGGAAAGAGCTGCCTAACAGACAATGTGTAGGATGAGTAAGGGTGAGGTGGTATCTTCTCTCTAGAGTAAGCATGAGCCTAGTAAACTGCCTGTCTTGGGAGCACTGAATTTCCACTGCAGCAGCAGCTGCTGGAGAAGGATTGTTCCACATGCAGTAAGGTCTTTGTCAGCTACGCATGTGCACTGTCTCCCTGCGGTTCCGCGTCACTGCCACAGCTTGATAGCATGTGGCACCTCTAGCAGCTCGTGTCTCTTCTGTTCAGGTAGAGGTGGCTGATGCGGACAAAGCTAGGTTTCCCCTTTCTGCTCTGCGTACACTTTCCTTCTGTCTTAGCATGGCTACAGGATTTCAGGATGAATAGCTCTGCCAGCTCCTGCTAGCTCTGAGCATCAGAGTCCTTATTCATGCGTCTGTGGAAGATGCATTCATTCCTCCCCGCAGCAGTAGCAGTAGCAGCAGCAGCAGCAGCAGCAGCAGCAGCAGCAGCAGCAGCAGCAGCGAGGTGAGAAAGAGAAGAGGAGACAACTTCAAAAGCATCGGAAATGTGTGAGAAGCGTGAGCTTCCCTCGAGTATTTTGGGCTTGTTTCTATTCATTCCGCTGAACGAGGATTGACCACATAAAATGTAAATTGTGTAGCAAGTTTCTTTCAAGTTTTCTAAAACACTGCTTGCCATGATAAAAACACATTCCATTTTGCACGGCAGAAAAAGAAGGAAAATAACTTTGAAACACCATTTCTGAAACTTGAGGCTTCAGTCTGAATTTTCTGTTCCTTCTTTTTTTTTTTTTTTCCGTGTGGAGCCGGGGATTGAACTTAGGCCCTTGTGCTTGCCAGGGAAGCGCTTACTCTACAGCCATCTCCCCGGCCTCTGTTCATTATTCTTGTTACTGTACTGTCATGAAGAAATGCTCATAACCCACCATGTAGTCTGTGTTTGAAAATAGGCTTAAATACAAAGCAATCTCAAGAGATAGGGTGACCCTGCAGTGTCTTTCAACTCAGGACACTCGTGAGAGAGAAAAGAGGATGCTTTTAATTTCCTCAATAAACAGAGTAAGCTGGAACAGTTTAAGGACACTGAAGTGTTAGGTAACCACAGTAGGCCAAGAAGTAGATGTCAGTAGGAAGTGTCCACTCACAACGCAACTGGGCGAATACAACCTAATTTTTTTATTTTCTGGTCATTGGAAAAAGAAGTATTGTGGTACCTCAGTTCACAAACTTAATTTGTTCTTCAATTTTGGAAAAGATGGCCATGATTGTGTTTGTGAGGGAAAGAAAGCTTAGGTCATGTTTGTCACCTGATGCAGAGCTTGCAAACAAAAACAAATTTTTGTGAAACGCTTCTGTTGGCAAATGAAATTGTTTGTAAACAAAAGCACAAGTGAACTAAGGGACCACTATATAGACCATAGGATCCAACTCAAAACTTTAGAGACCCATCACATGTATAGGTTTGGTCTGAACTAGGAAATTCACCTTCAAAGACAGGGTCTAAAGTGTTCATGGGGAATTAAAACATGGGAATACGGGCTGGGGACACAGTGGCACAGTGCCTGCCTCGCAAGTGCAAGGTCCAGAGTTCAATTCCAGGTTCCAGAAAAATGAAAAGCATGTGAGTGGAACTACATGGCTATCAATTATGTTGATCTGTGAGCATATGGAGCCAGATGCACACTGATGGGGAGTAGGAGAGGAATAGCACTAGTGGAATGGAGATGGGGAGGTGGGGAGGGAGGTGACGGAAGGGAGATGGATCCACAGCTAATGAGTCGTACCACGTGTGAGAGACGGAGCCACGACGACGCCTGCCACAGGAAGGCAAGGGCTGTACCTCTCCAAGGAGCTTGACAAGGGTACAGGGGCCTTCAGGGCAAAAAAGCAGAGCCAGGTTTAGCATCCAGTCTCAGTGGATGAAAAATATCCCTGTAGGGATGGATTCCATTTCAAGAGCTAACATTTCATGAGAGCGGAAGTCATGTGCCAAGACTGTGTGCTTCCTTTGCCACCCATGTTTTCATCTCCTTGACATTGTATGAAGTCGGATGGTACTGCTTGTAGTTTCCTTGCTAGTCCTACAGTCTTGGAGGATTTACCTACATCACCAAAGGTCTCAGAGAGAGAATTAAAGGGCAAAGCTCAACCTTGAATCTGAAGGCCCTAAGCCCAGACTTATCATTATATTATCTCCCTCACTGGAATCCTCTTGACTGTCCCAGGGAATGGGTAGATTGTTAACACACATAGCTGTGCTCACATACCCAACCCCTGAGTGATAATGCATGTGTTAAAATTTTTTCAGGTGTCTGCAAGGTGAATTCATACCTGCTGATTCTGCCCCACTGTCCCTTAGGACTTCCCACAGTTCTAGTTGGAAAATCTTTCCCTTAAATACAAAGAGCAATTCTGACAGCATCTTAAGCTCTTCCAAGGGATCCATACCCTTGGGAAGCAGGAGACGTCTGCACAGACCCTTGGACGGGAGAGATGGCTCAGTGGAATAAGTGCTTCCCTGGCAAGCACAAGGGTCTGAGTTCAATCCCTGGTTCTGCAAAAAAAACAAACAAACAAACAAACAAAAAACCCAGACCCTTCCTGCTCCCTGTGGGAAAGCTCAGTGAGGTGGGCTCAGCGTGCTCAGGCTGGAGACTCTAGGGCATTTCTATGGAGAGAAAAATGTGCTGCTGTGGGTGTGTAAACTCTTTCTATACGAAACATTCCCATTGTCATATTGCCAAGACCACTCCAGAATGCCACTGTTCTTAGATACACTATCGGGACCAATGTCACCTATTAACATCCCTGAGATGTTTCACAAAAATCAATCCCACGAGGTTAGGAGAGGGCCCAGAGTGAGGTTAGAAAGATCAAGAAGTTGGCTATGTTTTATGTATTATGTGACTTACACTCTACTATGCTGTGGGAAAACCCAGGTTTATGGCCACAAGGACAAGTGATGAAGATAGTGAAGTTGAGGCGAAAGTAAACATGTGAATCCATGGTAGAACTCCCTCTGCCACACAAGCTGGGGGGGTGGGTTGGTGATTGGCACCTCCAGTACAAAAGCTCAGATGAATCCCACAGCATCATGGGACCTGGGCTTTGGCAAAGCCAGGGTGGGCAGGAGAGGAAGGCACAAGAGCTTCTCATCATCCCAGGCATGCCGGATGCAGGGTCAGAGTTCAGGCATAGGGAGCTAGCTGTACCCCGTTATTTTCTTTCTTCTATCAGGAAAGGAATTGTATCCAAGAGGTGATCATTCAGGCAGGGCTGGATCTGGGAGCTCACTGGAGCTGCAGTTTGCGTGCACGTGGGGACACTGGGGTCTGTGAGCTATCGTCCTGGAGGAGGACTCGTTACAGGGAAGCTGAATGTGGATGCAGCCCCTCAGCTGGAAGAGACACAGAAGCGTCTGTGGCAGCTGGCTGTGCAAGCAGCCCCAAGAGAGCTCATGAGCTGTGTTACTTTTGACAAACCACATTGCACCACACTTGCATTTGGGCATACCAGCTCTTCTATGCCACTTAATGATAATTACAGAGAAATAGGAGCATCAACCGTCTCACACTATATGACACTAAATACGTAAGCACTTTCAGTCAAGTTTTTACTCTGTCTGAGAGTACAGCAGGAAAAAACCTATGGTCAGAAGACCCGTACTCCAGTGTGCGTGCTGCGGGCCTTTCTTGGGTGGGTGACTTACTCTTCTGCTTTTGCTTGTATCATTTGTAACAAAAAACAATGCAACTCCTCTCCCGAGGATGGTGGAAGAGTGAAGATCAAATAAGGTACTTTTAATTGAAGAGCTTAGAAAAGTCCGAAGTACTCATTAAAACATGTTTAATTGTGGTTTTGTTTTTATCTATTTGGTCTTAAATTAGAGGCTTATTACTTTAATGGAAAATTAATAAAATTCATCCTTATAATCAGTGTCCTCCTTGGTTCAATTGAGCAAATATTTATTGAGAACTTATTCTAGTGCTAGGCATCATGCCAAGTCTGGTGGTCAATAGGGAAGTCAGTCTCAGGGACCTCAGAGCCTAAATCTAGTGCCTTCTCCATGTTGGGTCTTTGGATTCCCCCATACCCACCCCAGTGTGAGTATCAGTAGAAATGAATAACCTCAGTCCCCTCTTCACAGCTACTGAATGAGAATTCCCGGATGATACGTGTGCATAGTAAGCGGGGAAGTGCAGCTCCAAGAGACACCGATCTGGATCTTACCTCCGAAACCTCATGAGGATTTACAAATGTACTCTCAGCTCAGATTTACTACCCGCTGCTGCTGACTTAGAAATCAATCAAACATTCTCTTTGTTTTCCTTCATCTTACTGTTACTGTAACTTAACCCTCTGGCTCTGTCTGACAAAAAAGGACTGCATAATCTTTGGTCACTCACCTAGAGGTGCAAGCAGGTTAGCACAGGGAAAGAGAATGGTCATCACTCAGGACACTGACCTTGGCAAATGGCCTGGTGCCTGCCCCAGGTGCAGACTCCCACCACTGGTCTTTAAAAGAGCTTCCTCTGCTCAGGGTACCTGTCAGAAGGGTGGGGCTCCTTGATGCGG